TTCTCCACCTTAATGCAAGATCTTAACATTTCATCCATCATGCATTTGAATTTTTCGTTTTTCTTCTTTGGATCTGCACCATTAATACACAACGATCGAACTCTTCAGGACAAACTTTCAGGTCTACACTTAGCTCGACATAGGGACTTCTCTCGAGCGTGACAACTTTGTAATTGTGCTATGAACTCCTCTCGATTCTCGACTTATCTAGCCTCCTGCTAGAGCAACCTTCCATCGTTTCCTTGTAGAACTCTCAAGTGTACTCCCCAATAGATAAGGTCCCTCATTGGCAACGCCGTCTCGTGAATGCTCGCCCTTGTTGAGACTAAAATTTTCCTTCCATCAAATTTCTCGATTGTATACTTGAAATCCGCTATAGCTTTGATACCACTTGTTATGAATTTATCCCTTTTTGTATACACAATGATACAACTAGTTAGGAATTAATCCGCCCAAGATCACACACAAGTATACAATTACAACAAAGAGAAAATAAGATAGACAAACACAATATTTAATGTGGTTCGGCTGCACCTGGCCTACGTCCACGGATAGAAGAGATTCCATTAATCATTATAGAAAAGATATTACAACGGTAGATCACACACACACACTATCTCATTAGAAATAACATCAAGAGAGATGTCAAACACCGGATCGTACGCCACCACGATCTACCACTCTACGAGGCTTCCGCTCGCTATTCGTATTCACCACACAGCATCTTCTCTACCCACACACTTACATATTTCTATGAGACTACACCACTCTACCTTTTCGGTGCCTCGGTGCACCCACTATTTCCTTTTCTTCTATTCTCTCATCTTCCTCTTCTCTGCATTCCTTCATCACCAGTACCTCTATTTATAGGCATCCCCATCACTAACGGACGGCTAAGATGCAATCTCACCAATAGTGGAGATCGATTTTCTATAATCTTCTCCCACCTTCTTCACACTTCTATATATATTTACAAGTATCTATAATATTCTAGAACTTTCCATAATACTCCACACAACTCTGAAGAACTCTAAAAACTTCTACACACTTCTACAATATTTTACACCTTTATACACATTTAGAATTTTTCACACAACTCTAGATAATTTCGGAAGACTCTAGAAACTTCTCTCTTACTATATATATATATATATATATATATATATATATATATATATATTGTCCTCTAATTTTCGTCATTTTTAACAGTTCAATATTCTATGCTAAATAAGATGATAAAGTATTGTTAGGGTATTAAAGCAGTGTACACAATACTGGGGATATCCAAACATGAGGAGGGTCCCAATAATTATGTTATATTTTCATTAGGCCCGCATGAATCCTGCAATTTGCAGCGTCCAGTACATGGAGTCCATTGGGTATGTATCCTACCAAAAAGATTTGATCAACCAGGTGAACTTCAAACTGCTCCAATAATTCAAGTGTTGGGTACACATCTGTAAATGGTGAGCCAATTTAGATTTGATTAATGTCACAGAGAAGGTCAACGTAAACAATCAATGAATTTGAGTTATAAACTTATAGTACTTGTAACATGCAGATAAGTTCAAATTTTAAATTATAATTTTTAATTGTGATAGAACTTATCTTTTGGATGACATTTTGGCTGGGAAGGAGTTTGAAGATAAACACATGGCGTGATTGGAATTGGAAGTCAAGCGAAAAAAATCTACAAGAAAAGAAGAGAACCGCTTAAATTAAAAATATATATATATGCGGTTGTGATCAGCATAAAATGACGCGAGGCACAATCTTAGAAGCAGCCAACCAATGCAACCTTGGAAGAATGATTGAGTTAATGAGAAATCATACAACAATACCAACGCTATGGTATCCCAACATGCGGGAGTATTGGATGATCTGAACATGTCATGTTATTGGTATGTAAATTACATTTACATGCTATCAATCAATTTAAATATTATATGTTCTTCGGATTAGTACATGCATGCATATATATATATATATGTACAAATATCTATTTTGTTTATAGATCTCCCTATATACAACGAAATATATTTGCTTGTTTTGTGTAATATGCTTGTACTTATTTTACATTGTCGAAATGAGTTCCAACACTTAGCTGAAAGATCCTGTGTTGGACAGTTGGGTGATATCTGTTTGTCGTTTCTTAATTATTATATATATATATATATCCATGACATAGAACTAAAATAAAGTTATTCCAAATTATCTATTCAAAGTATATAATATGTACTAAACTAAGATTATAGAACAAAATCTTCACTAGAATTGATTTGCTAGTCAAACTAATTCCTAATATCTATTTTAATATTTTAAAATTAGGTTAAGTGCAAAAGTACCCCTCTATATAGTACAAAAAAGTTTTTGTGTGTGATATAAAACTCCATATATTATTAATTTAGTACAAATACTCCCTATTTGCATAAAACGGCTATAATATCCTCTTGTCAATAAAATAAAATAATATTAAATAGACCAAGCAATTTAAAATTACCATTTTAGACAATTCTCAAACTCACCCACAAAGTTAACATTTTTGTGACAAATATATCTTTAAAAATACTCACATGACTTTTAATTTAATGGCTAATTGAGTCATTTTACTGTAAGCAATATCCATCTCTATGTGGCAATAATCCATGGCTGGTAGAAAATGATGCAGGACCAATAGAGTTATTAAGAGATTAAAAAATTTTAAAAAATTACTATTTTGAAAAAGCTTATGTAAATTATGTTTATTTTTTTTTATTAATCAAAGTAGGGTAAAACAATACTAGGGACCAATTTTTTTAATGAAAAATAACAGAGCTACATATATATATATATATATATATATATATATATATTATATTTTGTTTCATTGACCAAAAAAAAAAAACTAAAGAACATATTTGAAAAAGTAAAAGTAAATGATTTTATATGTATAATTGAAAAATTAGAAATTATTTATCAAAATTTATTAGGAAAGAATAAAAAAATAATTTGAAACCATTACATAAAATATGAAATTATATCGGTATAGTATTCATATAATTTCAGACCTAAAGAAATAAATATTTACATTTAATATGATTAGTACTAAAAGCAAAATTGTATAGTATTCATATAATCTGTGACCTACAAAAATAAATATTTATATTTAATATGTTTCGTACTAACACCAAAATTGTTAAACATTCATATAATATTTGACTTAAAGAAATAAATATTTGCATTTAATATGATTCAAACTAAAAGTAAAACAAAATAAGACAAAGTAAAAAAAAACATATTCTTTGATCTTGGTTATATGAGAAAAGGGCAAATTAGGATTCCAAAATTTATTTTAGGAGGATGCATTATGTACATAACCTATATTATATGAGAGTTTTCTGCACTTAATCTTTTAAAATTATATAATTTAAGGAGAGAATATTTTGATATTTTGAAATAAAAGTGTTAGAAAAATTAAAAAAAGTAATGCTAACAAAAGTGCCCGATAATTCTTGTGACAACCAATCACAAGAGTCCTTGGGTGTTGAAACCCAACACCAGAGCAACGTATTATAAAGATTAGTGTGAACTAGCATAGCATCTTTGTACCATTTAAAATGACCCCACGTGCAAATGATCTTAAATAAATTATAAATAACAATTTTTATTCAAAGGATATTCTATTAAACCAAAACTAACCAAAACTAAGAGATTATATTATTTATGATATTCTATCAAATAATAAATATTAAAAAATAATAAATATTAAATGTTTAAAAAGAAAGATTGAGAAAGATTTGAAGGGATGTTTATCCCTCTTATGATAGTAATTTAATTCTTATAAAAAATAAAAAATATTACAACTAATGCAATTTTTCTTTTAAAAATGGCGAATTAGACTAAAAAAAAGTTAATTGTCAAAAATTATTGTCTAATCGAATTACATGAGATACAACTCCTAACCCTAATATTTAATACTTCGTCAGAACATTCAACTACCCAATGTGTTATACCAGATAAATGTTAAGAGAAGAAATAATAAGACTATTTCCTCGTACAACATAAACAGCCAAGGAGCTAATTGTCAATAATAAATGATCTGATTAAAGTAATTATATTTGAATTAAACTTATAATAAGAGAAAAGAATCATCAATACTAGCATGGTTGGGGGAGGGGACACTACGTTATCCCCTCTCCAAGACATGTTTGATTCAAGGATTAAATCAGAAACGTTACGATCAAGAGGAGGATGCAAATTATAGCACAATCCTATCACCCGATAAATTATTAGATAATTTTGATTTATTTGATATTTGGTGGACTAATTCAATATAAATCCTTCAATCATAAAACTTTGTATTTATTAATATATTCTTGTAGAATCATTTTTTCAATCTAAAAATATGTATTTAACTGGTCCACCAAATAGCAATGGACCAGTTTACCGTTGCCGAACACTCACGTGCGACATTTAGATAAATAGGTTTGGTTTGACTAGTTGTAGTGGTTCATTCTTCTCTCTTAAGTTTAGCAAACCAACGGATGAGATGGGTTAAAATCTAATGGCTGAGATGGAGTCTTATTTGGATATGGGCTAATGGATTGTCAACTCTTTGGGCCTCATTAATGAAATGGTGAGTTGGGTCAAACTTGTACATAAATGGGCTATATATTTTAGATGTGGAATGGTATTACGAATGGGCTTTTGTGCTAAAGTGACATGGCTATTGATCTTGTGTTATAAGGCCAGCGATGCTGAGTTTAGATTCAGGGGTGTTCAAATAGCTAATCCGTTAAATTGATCTGAATCAATTCGATTTGTACTGTTCAATTCGATTTTTTATCTAATAATTGGATGATGTTTTAAAAATTGTCAATCCGTAATGAAGAAGTCGATTAATGAATTAAACTATGAAATAATCAAATCGATACATTAACTCATCCGATTCGATCGTGAATTATAATAATATATAATATTATATGTATACTGTAGTATATTATTTCTATTTATTTATTATTTGTTTTTAAAATTCAGCCTACGTGAGCTTATCCAACCCTAGGTTTTCTAACATCAGGTCTGATTGTGCCGCCTCCCAGTCTCTCGACTCTCTCTTCCTCAGTTCCTCATCTCAAGCAGCCATAACATCTGAAATATTGCAAATCTCCATCACTCATCATAAGGTACACAATCTCTCTTTACTTTCTCTCTTCATCACTCATCCCTTCCTAGGCCCCAATGTCCCTCTAATTTCTCTCTTCAAAATTTCGGCTTAAAAAAAGTGATACGGTACACAATAAAATAAAAACAGAGAAAGAATCGCAAACCCTAGAACTAGAAATTACCAGAAGCAGAGAAAAGGGTTTTGCAGATCAAAAAATGAACATATTTTATGTATTTATCTTGTTTCTCTGGAATCTTCTGAGCTGATAAATTTTTTGGATTTTAAGTTTATTTTTTTCTTTTCAATATTGTAATTTGTTGCAGTCTGATCTGAGTTCTATGATTCAAATAAATGAGCTTTCATTGTGCATTTTTTTTATGTGTGTATCTGTTGTAATTTGCTGTGGTTGGGAGGGGCAAAATGGAAAGAATGTTTGGGATTTGTTTCTGAAATGTGGTGCGATGACCAATCATTTGGCTTTTGTAGTTGAATGCTTAGATCTGATTTACTTCTCTTGCTTGTTCGAATTGGTGTGTTTGACCAATTTCTATGTTTTTTGTTCTTTTGTTCTTGTATGATGTTTGGTCTGTTTTTGTTGTTGTTGATAAGCCCAATCCGTGGGAGTGTATGAGTGGGCAGTGCGTGTTTATTTTGTGGTTATATAGAAATCCCCTTTTATTTATTTTTCCCCACCTTGCATCTTTCTTATTACTCTCTATGAATATCTGTTATTGTTTTCCCTTCGCATATTTATACATGGATAAATTTATATATACACACAATTTGTTATTTTTGTAACTAGAATACCCGTTCTGTATCTTTCTTCTATTAATTAGTACAGACCGCATAATGTAAGTAGTAGCAGAAGTATTGGACATAGTCCGACCCAATCCATTGTCATATTTTGTGAGATGATAGCTGTCATTTTAACTTTACACCGACCCATCAGAAAAGTAAACAATGTTTTTAATGAACCATCAATACAATATAGTACCACATGTATATAGTTAGAGAGAGAGGCAACAATCTTATTACCTCCCTGTCTCTCTTCCTCACACTTTCTTCTGTCCACCGACCTTCTCTTATTCTTATTCTTCCTTCACTCTTTTCTCCTCCGCCTCTTGACTCTTCACATGTTTATGAAACATCTCCATCTTTGTTTTAACAGGATACATCTCTCCATCAACTGATTTTGAAGACAACCCTCTCATTCTCAACTCTCTTTCTACCGGAATTATATTTCAGATCTAACAATCTAGCCATGCCTCCTCAATCATCAGGTACCTAACTCCTCTAATTATTCTTACTATTAAATCTTTGCTGATATATTGTTTTATTAATGGTTTCCGTACTTTTTTTTGTTAATGTGAATGAAAATGCTTCTAATTATATATTTATTTAGTCTGAAGTATTGTAATTTTGTTTCAATTTTGTCTTTCTAATATAGGTGTATTTCTTCGGAATACAGAGAAAGAATGGGGAATGGGTAGAGTAGGGAAAAAAAGGTGCACCCCTTTTTCGAAGGGAGAGAACAATCCACGTAAAATAACTGAGCTGCAGCGGAGTGACAAAGGTCTTCCCTCGAACTGCTCTGTAAATAAACACTGATATTGCAGAAGCGGGGAAGTCACGTAATAAAATGGAGGTGCAAATGTGCAAAGGCTACAAGGGGTGATACTTCATGCTTCACTTGCAAAGGCTACAAGGGTCCTTTCTTACTGCTATGCTTCCATGCTTCACTTCCTGATGGAGTAGGTCGTACCTCTCATTACTTGGGAATATGAGTTGCCACCGACAAGTTTGTATTATCTATTCCAACACTGAAAGTGCTCTTAGAATGATTTATATAATTCGATCTGTAATACTTAAAAATCTCTTGGCTGCTTTACTTGTCAACACTAAAAGTGCTCTTAGAATGATTTATATTATTCGATCTGTAATACTTAAAAATCTCCTCGCTGCTTTACTTGTCTCGCTTGTTCTTTTCATTCTCTATCCTTGTCAATGGGCCACAACTGTAGCAACAAAATAATAAAAAAAAAATGGTTGTGGAGTTCAATTGCAATCTCAACGACTCAACCCACCTTTATATGATACAGATTTGGAAACTTGTTTAGGCCATCATTTGTACCAAATTATGTTCGAATAGGAACATGGCAGGAGAGAGAGTTTACCTAATTATTCCAAAACTATGGACACTTCGTAGATTTTTATTCTTTTGAGAGTGTTTTGTATGTTTAGTTTGTGGGAAGCAAAAACTCATGGGAAAGTTGGGAGACAAATTACTGTGATTCATTTCAACAGTAAAGATGCCGAGTAGGCTTGTTGGGTGGCATGAAACTAATCCACAACATAAGAGTACATTGGTTTTAACTACGGTTGTAACTTGGGCTGGCCCAATCCAGCTTAATCTGAGCCCAGCCTCAATGCGGTTTTGGGTTGGATTGTGCTGGGCCGAGGTAACTTAAATTTGGGCTTCAACCCATGAAGCCCAACCCAAATATTTTTGAGTGGTAGATCCACTTGTGTTGCTTCATCAGAAAACAGAAATCATTATAATAAAATTGACCTTAATCAGATAAAAATAAAAATAAAAATAATAAATAATATATAAATAAATGGTCCAGAAAGGTATAAGAGAACAAAAAAAACTGGGATTTAAGACCATTAAGATACTTCATATCTGCAGTTCAGTATCACTTGCGCCAACCAAGTTAAAACACATGCAGATGCAAAAGCAACCAATGATTTCAAAACCCACCCATTAAAGCTACGTAAAATGTTTTTATTGTATTTTTATGTAAAATGTTCTTTTTATTTTTTATTTTCTATTTTTTATTATTTGGTGTTTGACAAAATATTTTTTAAATCAGTTTTTATGCACAACTAAACTCTTTCTTCAATGTTCCTCACCAACAAAGAATAGTACCCATAATTAACTCCCTATACTTCCTCTTGCAATTAGAACTTATTTTCTCAAGATTTAACTACCCAATATATAATACCAAATAAATTTATAAGAGAATGATAAATAAGCAAATAGCTTATACAAATATATAATTAAAGGACTACCAAAGCTACTCCCGCAAGAAGTTTGGTTCCAAGCTCCTTGGCACGCTTTCTTGATGCTTTTTTCTCCTCGGTATCTATGAATTCAAATGGAGTTCCTTTAAGAACAAGTTCATGTATCAAAAGTAATCTTCTCAAGGTTAATGGCCCTCCTAATTAAATACATTGCAAGCTCAACATCATTTGAACCTCCAACAAATCCAATTAATTCCACTACCTTAAGGTACTGATGGGGCCGTGATGTAAACTTTTGGCGTTTAATTTTTCGAAACGGCCCGATCCATATCAACTGTAACAAGGAGTAATTCAGTCATATGGTGCTTTATGCGGTAACAAGTACTCGGGAGAGAAAGAAAAAGAATAAATGATATTCAAATTCCACTTCGAAGTAGACCATTAGTATATGCTTTATACATGCAGGTAGACCAATTACCATACAAAACCAAATTTATAATCATCATAATGGTTCGGCCGGTGAGCACATGTGAAAGTTAGAAACAACTAGCTCGAGCCCTCCATGGAAATCAAACATCAATAAAATAAATATAGGATGCAATAAAAACAAGTGGTTAAGATTTAGTTTCTACCCAAATATCAACCTCTTTTACAAATTTTCTACTAGCTACCAATTTCTATAAATTCTTCCATTTTCTAAAACCCTCATCTCTTTACAAGACTGCATGCTTATTATTTCTAGTCTTTTATGTTATTGAACTGAAAATATAGCAGGCATAAGAAAAGCAAAAGTATAATTATATCATAAAATATCTGTATTTGTATCTACCACATTTTAATAAGCCAAAGTGCCCACTATTGATCACTAAAGATCCTGAAAGATAAACTAAACTCTTGCTACTGCAGGGTACCCTCGGGAAGTAGAAGAAAGATGGGATTTCTACTTTGACTTTGGCTTGCATTCTTAGTTTGAAAAAGAAAAGATACCAAAAAAAGTAGTATTGTAATGGACAGTGTACCTTGTCACCTTTCTAAGAGCTGATGAACTAATACATTGGTGGGTTTATTCTAAAGCATGTATGCACGGGCCTAAATAACATGGAATCAGTCACATCCTCAATCATGAAAATAGAGCAATCTAAGGACGTGTGAAACTCTTAGTTAGTGTTGTATTAAATCCACGTGGTAAAAAAAGAATGATATATATTTATTTACAAAATACTTGAACAATCAGGAAAATAAAACAAGCTAAACAGTGTAAAAGCATTTTTCCTATTATTAGTAATATTGTAACTTTGTAATTGCCATAAAGAAGGGGAGAATTGAAAGATTTTAACTGAATCAAAATTCCCATTTGAAATTTCAATTACAAAAGCAATAAACCTCACAGTTTCAGAAATGTAGGTTGTAAAGTAGACTTATTACCTTTAACACAAATTTAGATAAGAAGGACGTGCCTCTATCAGGGGAGCAAAAACGAGAAGGCTTTCTGCATCACTTGCACAAATTCTCAACTCCAGTTGCTTCAGCTTACTAAATACAGGAAAGTTGAAAGACTCAATACCATCCTGAATAAACAAAGAAAAATTAAATCTTATGTTAAAAAAAAAAAAAAAATGAATAAAATACAAATAAAGGGAAGGAGATAAAATCAACACAAACTTACTAACCTCTAGGATGGTCAATTTCAGAGCAAGGCTCTTTAGCTGAGAAAGATAGCTTGAAATCTCCAAAAAGTTATATATAAGATCATCACAATAGTCACCCTCGATATACAAATCAACAGGCATCGGGGACATTCTTAAAAGGCAGACTTATTTTTGGTCCGACATAGTGAAATGACATGAGATTCATTGCAGAAATCTCAGTACTTTCCACATTGAAACAATGATATATCGCCAAGCACTTCAATTTGAGTGATACCTCAGGAACTTTCAGATTGACAAGACCCTCAGACTTGTTCATAGACAATTGTTCTAAAAATGGACAGTTAAGAAGTACTCGAGAACTTGTCCACTTACATTCACCCAAGATAGCTGGTGATTGGTGAGGGAGTTATAGCTAGTTAATCCATGGGGGTGATTTGTAATACGATAAATGTAATCCTTTTCCAATCTAATATGCACATTGTCTGTAAAGTCTAATTCAAGACTTTTAAGTCTCTTTTCCATTGCAAACTTAACCCAATTGTCAATATGAAATCTAGAAGTTTCATCAATATCAAATTGAACTTTAAATTCATCTATACTTGGACCGTTGAATGATTTCAAGACTTGATTAACCCAACTCAAATTGTCAGGACCCAAATGTTCTAATAAAATCATCAATTCATTCAAATCCAAATACATCAAACTACATCCTGAATCATAAAAAAAAAAAAAAAAAATGCTTTTTTATACAAAGTCAATTTCCTCAAATATATACAAAAATTCTCCAAATAAATAAAATAAATCCTGTAACGCCGACTCTTCACCCTAAGCCCGTATCTAGCAATCCCCGTTCATCTTCGGTACCTGAAATTGGAGGGTGGTGAGACAGAAAGTCCCAGTAGGAAAAACCATAACAAAAATTTCACGGAGGTTTAACAAAACAGCTTCACAAAATATACACATTCATATGAATATATAAACAAAATAAATATGCATTTAATCAAAACATTTAATAAAACCATTTGAAGCAAAACCACCCCATGCCATTCAAGGTATAGAGAACCCTACATTGAAAAATGAATTATTTCTTCACTGGATCACCAAAGCCTCAAGCTCCAAACCTCCTCTGGAACTCTCGGCTCTCTCTCTGTGCTCAAACTCTCGCATTCCTCTATTTTTTTTTTCTCTCTCTGTTCTTTGTATTCACTCGGTGTACAACTCCTTCAATTTATAATGGTCTCCACCGACTTATAACTTACGACAGCTCACCATTGCAAAATCAAAATATCAAAACATAATAATTACCTTAAATGGACCACACCACACACCTTTTCTTCTTCCTAATCTTCTCATTTCTTATCTTCACTTTCCATACATATCACCTACCAACCACAACATCAGCCCATTACCAGCCCATGTGAAGGAAACCAAAGCAAGAAGAAAATTGAAAATAGATCCTCTCTAAGAATAGTTCTCTTCAGGCATCTATAGGTATTAATCTTACGACTCGTAAGGCGCCACATCAACAACTTATTTTTGACTCGTTCAAAACACTAAAAGTTACTACACTTTCTTAAAATATCTAACTATATTAAATTACAAGTTTACCCACATTAAAAAACTTTTTTTCTCTTCCTTCTCTTTCCTATGTATAACATATATATATATATACACACACACACATGGCTAGATATATATATATATATACAGATTATATATGTCGGAGTCTCGGGGATAGTGTCTCTGGCATCCATGCGCTCGGAGAAGGAGAATTTTTTTTTTTTAATGTGGGTAAACTTGTAATTTAATATAGTTAGATATTTTAAGAAAGTATAATAACTTTAAGTGTTTTGAACGAGTCAAAAATAAGTTGTTGATGTGTCGCCTTAGGAGTTGTAAGATTAATACCTGTAGATGCCTGGAGATAACTATTCTTGGAGAGGATCAGTTCCTAAAAAAACTTGGCCAAAAGAAATCCTCAGTGGGCCCCGCAAGTACACATTACCATCATCACACAACCTTTCTCTCTCTTCCCACTTCAGTTGCTCCCTCCTATCACCTTCATTAGACAATAAAAAAAATAATAAATAAATAAATATATATATATATATATATATACACACACAAAACTAAATCAATCCCCTTTTTCTCCTCGTGGGTCCCACCAATTTCCATTACCTTTTCTCTTTATCCCTTTGGCTGGTACACCTAGCTGCTTCCTTCAAACATACATACATACATATATATATATATATATATATAAACTAAA